TGAGAGTGGTACAGCCTTAAAAGGTCTGACTAGAACTCAATAATAATGCTGAGAAGCCAATTAACCTGTAAAATATGCTACCTATGGCCATTTGTTTTACAAGAACTTGCTTTTACAGTCTCCTTGTAGGATAAACTCGGGTTGTTTAGTCTACGAAGATAAAGTAGATCAGTGCTTCTACTTTCATGTGCTTGAGAATTTCCTCAGGGATTTTTTTAAAATGCAGATTCTGGTTCGGTGGGTCTAAGGGGTGGGCCTGACGTTCTGCATTTCTGCGCAAGCTCCCGGGTGATATGAGAGCTCCACGGACCACACTGCGCGGCTCCTGCGGTCCGCGGTCCCTCCCTTCCCTGGGAGAGGCCCTAACAGCCAGGGGTATGCTCACAGGACCCTGACCTCCGGGCCAAGTGGATCCTTGACACTGGCAAGGTTAGCCTGCTCTTCCGCAAGACTTTTAGAATAGAAATAAAGGGAGACAGTAATACTCCTCTCTCTTTGTGGCGAAGTACAGGACACAAGGCTCCGGTGTTACCAGCCATGTGAGAAAGCCGGGCTCCAGGAGAAATGCAGAGAAGATCCGGGTGCCAATCCAGTCCCCGGTGAGGCTCAGGCCAGACCCCCTTCTAAATTGTGTGAGATATTCTACTGTCCCCGTTAAATTCCCTTCTCAGTCTAAATTTGTTCCAATTGGGTTCCTATCACTCGAAACTTACAAAGTCCTAACTAACAGGGGGTGGGGGGTTGGGGGGCAGGTGTCCCCTGGGAATGCAGTACCTGCTGTGATGGAGGAACAATGGAAAACTTCAGACTGGATTAGTATCCAGACATCTGGGGCCTGGGCTGAGGAGAGCCTGTCCATTAACTCACACTAAAGGTGTGTTTCTAACAAAATGGACAGACCACAGAGGGAGTTAAACACATTAAAAAACTAAGGCTTGGGGAAGAGAAGGGAACCGGGGAGTCTAGGAGCACCACGGCTGATGTTCTTTAGAGAGACCCCTGGGCCAGAGTGGAGGTCAAGACAGGAGCTAGGGATCCCTGGGTGGCGCAGCGGTTTGGCGCCTGCCTTTGGCCCAGGGTGCGATCCTAGAGACCCGGGATCGAATCCCACGTCGGGCTCCCGGTGCATGGAGCCTGCTTCTCCCTCTGCCTGTGTCTCTGCCTCTCTGTGTGTGTGTGTGTGTGACTATCATAAATAAATAAAAATTTAAAAAAAAAAAGTTTAAAAAAAAAGACAGGAGCTAGATAGAGTCCTGCCCAGCAAAGAACAAAAGGGTGGACATTTCCTGTGTTAGACACTGTATGATGTGCTTTACATTTATGACCTTATTCAATGACCCCTAGTAAAGTGTCCTACATTGCTCCTGCCAGCTGTCCCTGAAATTCTAGCAGTTGGCAGCTGGCACTTCTAGCCAGAAAAGGTCATATCTTGAGAACATGAGACACATCACATGAGCCTCACCCGGGAGACCCTATGACTGGGTATTCTGTGGGCAAATCTGGAAGTCCTCTGAAGTCTCTGAGGCTGCAAGCAGCCTGGATGAAACAGTAAGCACCTTTTTATGACAGTTACCACTTTTCTATGTTTGAAGTACGTGGATTTTTCATAACCAGTGTCTTCTTGGTCTACACCTCCAACTGCATCAATCCCATCCGTATCCAAGGGTCCACACAGCACAGTTAAAATAAACCAAATGTTTTATAGCACATTTCCAAAATATTTTTGCATTGACTGAGAGAAAACAACTGGGTACTGCCCAGGTGTACTGTCCATGAACTGCAAGCCTTTCATATTTACACAGCAAGTGCAAGTGCAGATAGGGCAGGCAGCAACAGGATGGCGATACTGGAGAACATTTCCTTTGGGGTACATGCCCCCGGGTACAAGATGTGACAAGGAGGTCATGAGGCTGATTTCATTAAGCCAAAACGGACGCTGATCTCATTATTTTATAGCCATACCTTGTGGCATGTTTATAAAATATTTCTTTCACAAGTTAAAACAGAAACTGCTACAGATGGTTTTAATTCTGGTAAAAATCAATGGAAAAAGTTCTATGTTAATGCAACATTTGTTGTAGAGATTTCCAGAAACACGCGAGTCAAAATTTCAAATTATGATTCCCACAGTAACTGTAACTCTGCTATACAACATACATAATGGAAGGAATGTTATCAACATATACCATAGTAGAAAATACTCAGTAAGCAGAAACAAGCTGAGTTATGCTTGTTGTGGGAATCATCATTTTCAACTAGCTGAGGATATATAAAAATTGAAACCATAAATGCATGCATTATTTTATGTATTTAATTCCAATTTTTCTTGATCCAACTTAATCAGCTTTGCATCCAAACTACATTTCCCTTTCATAAACTGAGAATGAATGTCGTTCATAATTTCAAAATCCACATCATTTGGTTTCTTTCTCTCCTGCGGGCTGCCTTTGCTGAACAGCCTCATTATATCCTGTCCCTCCCCGAAAAGGTCAGGCCATGTCTGCCAGGACCCATTTATCTATTTTCCTTGTCTCCCTGAAGGACACCCTGGCAAGGGGGCGAAGAAGAAGACCGAAGACAACAAGACCCACAGTAAGTAGCTTACACAGGTGAGTGCGTGCACCAGGAAGAGGGACGGCGGCGTCGTTAAGTTCTCCGTTGGCGGCTTCCTAGGCCAAAATAAGGAGAATAGCACCGCCATATATTTACAATTTCCAGAGTGTTTCGTCCTAACATCATCTCATCTGATCCTCACAACAACACTGAGAAAGACAAAAAAGAAAACCTCTTAACCGTGTTCAGCTCTTTGTGACTCCAGAATATATTTAAGGATGCGCTTTTATGGTATAACTTAAAGTCTGGACTATTTAATTGCACTTACAATATTACCCACTTACCACATGCAGAGGATTTACTTATTATTGAAAGCAGAATATACTTTATGCAAAAAGATTATGGTTACGAGCTGAACATTTAGCATAGTTTAAGCTTTCTGCTTTAACTGTATTCTGAAAATTCAATAATGGAACAGAAAGAGAAATAACGCCCTTTGAAACCCTGCCTGGGCAAAATTAATCCTGTATATTACATCCAGTATTACTTTTCCCAGTTTGGTTTTAACTAAGAAGGGCACCTTCTGCAGCCTCTGAAGAGGAAGCCTTTTACTTTCCAGCAGTCTTTACCATCAGGGTACGTTTCATTACATTCAAGCTAAATTACTTTGGCTCAAGATCAATCATATTTCCTTCTGACGCTAAGTAGCTCCGCCCCACCACGGTGTCCCTGACCTTGTGGCGGTGTCTGCAGCGTGCTATGGTCAACCTTTTCTTGTCTCTTAGTGCTGCTATGATCTGGCTAGTCGGGAGTAAGTTTGCTTTTCCCCCTTTCTGTGTACAAAAGAATCCCTCTCCATTTTTCAGATAAAATACCTGAATTTCTCTAGCACACCAATAAGATCAATTAAAATGAAGATTCATAGCTGCCAAAAAGCCTTAACATCATTTGTTCTAACCTGAGAGATAGCAGTTAATCCTTTGCCTGTGAAAAGCATGACCATTTTGCACGTAATTAAAGAGTAATATTTTAAGTGTTAAAAGGCAAACAAGTCCTCAGGAATACTAATTTTAGGAGGTTTTATTGTGGAGGAAGAGTTGTCTTCTTAATGTTGCCTATGATTATAAATCAGATCTTTGTAATGAATACAGATTTATTAACACATAAGTTCTTGGAACAAAACCAGGTAAGATATAAGAAGATATCCTGTGGGACACACTTAACTTGCATGTTTTTCCCCCTTGTGTGCAAAAAAAACGATACCTAATGGGGCTAATGGCAAAACACAATCTCAATACTATTTCCAGTTATGAGAAAGACAGGAACATGGCTGATAAGATAAAAACATCAGTGATGAAGATAGAAGCTCTTGCACCATCTCATAGACCAGAAGGGTCTTTTCTGCCTTATGTGGTGCATCAGTCAAACATGAAGGCAGGAGCATAAGCATGTAATTTCCATACAGTCCATCCACTCTACGGATTATCTCAGAAATACAGATCCAGCCAGTATATAAACCAACCAGGTTTACCCTAAACAGAATGAAACAATATTTTTCTTTTTCTCTTTCTTTTCTTTCTTTCTTTTCTTTCTTTTTCTTTCTTTCTTTCTTTCTTTTTTCTTTCTTTTCTTTCTTTCTTTCTTTCTTTCTTTCTTTCTTTTCTTTCTTTCTTTCTTTCTTTCTTTCTTTCTTTCTTTCTTCTTTCTTTCTTTCTTTCTTCTTTCTTTTCTCTTTTCTTTTCTTTTCTTTTTTTAAGATTCTATTTATTTATTCACCAGAGACACAGAGGCAGAGGGAGAAGCAGGCTCCATGCAGGGAGCCCAACATGGGACTCGATCCTGTGTCTCCAGGATCAGGCCCCAGGCTGAAGGTGGCGCTAAACTGCTGAGCCACCTGGGCTGCCCTGAAACTATCTTTTTCGATATGGAAACTGAAGAGGACATAATCAATTCTTAATGATCACAGAATGCTTAGAAATGAAAAATGACAGTTTGTTTCTCTTGAGCAGTCAGTAACATGAAATTTTCAAAGGCCTTACATTTTCCAGATAAACTGACAGCAGGTAAGGTCCCAAAGACTATCAGTACCGTAAGTTAAGGAACCAATTCTTTCATATTTACTTATGATTAAAGCTGCATAATTCCATGAATGGCTGACGGTAAAATATTAACACATTAAAGATCAAACCAAAGGAAGATTCTGAGAACAAGGTAAGTAGGTCTAACAACAGAAGAGTGTTAAATAACTTACTGTACATTCATAAAATGGATACTGTGCAACCGTTCACAATGTGTTCTGAAAAATGTCCAAGGAGAGGGAAAGGGTTGATAACATATTGTAAAATGAAAAGCAAAGTTACAGAATAAAATATTCTATATGATCTCTATTTGGGGAAAAAATATAGAAAAAAAGACTACGAGAACACACACAAAAACACTGAAAGAAGTTACCTTGGCTAGTGAGCATTTAATGTGTTCACTTTTTTTTTTCTTTTCTGAATGGAAAGAAGATGGGGGGAAATTTTTATTTTCAGAAATAGCCATTAAATATACACTGATCTTTGTCCCATCTTTTTAATAACACACACAACAAAAACAAGTATAATCAATGCCACTTAGCATTTGCATTAACAATTATTTTTCTTTAAGTTATAAAATCAATAGTTCACTCAAATTTGGTTTCCTATACTTTGTGCCCAATTCAACAATAACAATGTATTTTTAAAAAAAGTATAATGACATTAAATTTTATCCAAGGTGGTGGTAGTCTTCCATGTAGTCTTCTTCACACATCACGTCTAGAAAATGAACTTCATATGCTTGATTCCGTACGTTTTGAAGAAAACCATTATAATGAGTGCCCACAATCCCAGAATAAAACCCCCAGGAGGATGCCAGTCTTTCAGTTTTGGTTTCTGCAAAACAAAGAGGACACGGTAAAGTGAACAATGGATCAGATACTGATGGAACAGAGAAATTTCAGTCTATATTTGACGGGGAAGTAATTTAGCCAAATTAATGTATTAGGATAGCAACAATGACAAAAAACTTCTAACTGGGTAAATATTTCAATGTGGTTCTTACAAAAATCAGTTTCAGAAGCCGTTTTGTTCCTTCAAAGAGGCTTCCCTGCCTATCCAGCCAACTGATCGCTCTCTTCACCCAGGCGATTCAGTAGCCTAACAATCCTTCTTGCTTTGAATTTATATATTCATTAGTTTGTTGGTTTTGTCTGTCTCTCCTATTAGACTGTAGCTCCATGAGGGTCGGAGGACCCACCTCCTAGCACCCACCTGCCACAGTGCCTGGCACACAAGAGACAAATACACACACACACACACACACACACACACACACACACACACTGATGAAGTCAGTGGGAAAACAAATGCACTCAATTCCATTTATTCTATATTCAACAAATAATTGCTTGGGCGCCCATACCTTTGGTCATATCAAGCCCTTGAGACAGTATGTTCCTTAGTCCATTCTCCCTATTTAAAACTCACAAATTGAAATGCCATCTCCTCCAGAATTTCTGACCTGATATATTCTTTTCTTTCAATGTATAGCTCCTTCTGCTCTTACATCTCTCTAGTAATATAATTATCTATGTCATTTATCTCCCTGCAAGCTTCCAGAGGGCAAAGTCTGGCTGAGTCCATTTTACAACCCCTTGTCTACTCCCTACCTCTCAACACCCAGCCAAGTGTCTTGTATATTTCTTTGTCCAGCGAAGAAAGACAGACCAGTCCTCTCCATTTAGTTGTCATTGCAACAGCTACATTATGTCCCTGAAATTGGAGGCCGATGACTATGATCTTTTTATGAGTTGGACTCATAAAAACTCATAAACTGCTGGCCAATATTGTAAGAATAGTTATGATATGAGAATCATATTTTTTTTAAAGATTCATTTATTGAGAGAGAGAAAGAGTGGGGGTGGCGGGGGGGGGCAGAGAGAGAGAGAGAGAGAAACCCAAACAGACTGAGGAGAGTACAGAGCCCTACATGGAGCTCCATCCCACAACCCCAAGATCACGACCCAAGCTGAACCCATGAGTTGGTGGCTTCATTGATTGTGCCACCCAGGCACCTCTAGATTCATACTTTGGAGTAGAATAAAGTGAAGAGGAAGTGTAATCTGAAATTTGCTTTAGTCACATGTAAACTAGCCAAGAAAGGTTCATAAATCTCTTAAAGGGATCTGTATCTTATACTTTGGTTTTCCATACATAACCAGGATACCTAATGCTCTTCTTTTTCTAAGATTTTATTTATTTATTCATGAGAGACACACAGAGAGAGGCAGAGACACACGCAGAGGGAGAAGCATGCTCCCTGCTGGGAGCCCGATGTGGGACTTGATTCCAGGACCCCGGGGATCACACGGTGGAGATGAGCCACCAAGGCTTCCCCCTGATCTTAATCCTAAACTCATCACATTACAAAGGGAAAGGAGGCAGGCAAGGAGGAAGCGAGGCAGGCAGGCAAGTTTAAATATTAAACAAATCAAGTCAAAGCAACCAGAATTCATCAGTAAGGGCCATGCTAGTAATACCCTGCCACATTTCTGTAGTTACTTAATGTTTATTATCTACGCTGTAAAATATCTGATGGTTGCCGAATGTACACAACATTATAAACCCACTAAAAGAATTCAAAAGCATATTTTGATACAATGGAATTCAATTTTTCTTTTACTTTTATAAATGGAGACGTTACCTATGGAAATGCCTGGTTTTCAATTAGGTGATCCTTCTGCAACTTCTTCCTTCTCTTCTGAAGTTCTCCTCTCTTAGCTTCAGTGATACTCTCCCCAGGTTTTTCCTCCACTTCTCTAACTATTCCTTTTCAGTCTTCTTTGCTCCTTACATGCTAGAGTTGTCTAGAGCTCTGCCCTCAGACATGGACTCCCTCCCTTTATATAATCTCTCTGGGTGACACCTGTAACCTGGTTTTGACCTCTGTTAGCTGGCTTAGGATTCCCAAATCTATATCACTAACATGGAATTCTATACTAATCCCTAGGGTTATGTACAATTAACAGACATCTCTATTGGATATTCTAAAGGATCACAAACTTTACTAGAGCCAAGAGCAAATTCATTTCTGAGTCCTCCACCTGATTCTGTTCTTTCTTTTCTGTTTTCCATCTCTCCATCCACATGAGGGCCATCTTCATGTTGCCCAAGTGATAAAGATGGAAGTCATTCTTAGCTCCTTCATCTCTCAGACCTTCCCAATTCCATGGGTTACTAATTCTTACAGGTTTTTCTCCCCCATCATGCCTGTCCTTTCTAAGTTTTCTCCTGCCTTTGCCACTACCCTAGTTCCAGCTCTTATCATTTCTTGTCAGGATTACTGTAATAGTGTCCTAACTAGTTTCTCTTCTTCCAAGATGCCCTCTCTTTTCCATCTGTCAATCATATTGCTGCTAGACATATTTCCCTAAAATACAAATATATATTTGTATAATGTGTATATATATATGTATATAAGCCTCATATGTATGAATGTAGGTATTGTTGGGTTTTAAGCACACATTACTTTTGTAATTTAAAAAACTAAATAAATAATTAAAAAATGAGGGCTCAGTGTGGTATGGTTCAAAGAGCATGGGACTTAGAATCAGCTGCTTTGGGTCCCATGTTTAGTTTTAACACTTAAAGCCCATGTTACCTGTGAAGCCACCTTGCCATGCTGAATTTCTCAATCTATAAAATGGGCATAGTAACATAAACCTCCTGGGAATGAAATGAAGGCACAACTCTAGCAATGATGTGTTTGTTAAAAAAGTAGTCTATAAACTACCTGTTCCTACCTAGAGAAGTGATGATATGAAATGCAAAGTACTTTTTAGGTAACTTTCTTTTGTGTTTGTTAGTTTTAAGGAACAATGTTTTAAACAATCCGAGTTTTGTTATTTTAATTTGTATACATCTCAATTCAAAATTAACTTATCAACCTAAAAGGAAAGAAGCCCACCTTACCATTTTCATCTGGATGATAATATTGGAGTTTTAATCAACTACATAATATAGACACAACTGACGATACTGTTTACAGTGGTTACATGCCACTCTCACTCTAAGTCTATTCTCACCTCCTTCCAGAAATCTCTTCAAACACCAAAAATATTATAATCCAATTCTTCCTCATGTTATCTTTTTTTTTTGAGACCACCTCATCCTTTGTTATGAGGCCTATTTACCCCCCCCCTTTTTTTAAATTTTTAATTTTATTTATTTATTCATGAGAGAGAGAGAGAGAGAGAGGCAGAGACACAGGCAGGGGGAGAAGCAGGCTCCATGCAGGGAGCCCGATGTGGGACTCAATCCTGGGTCTCCAGGATCACGCCCTGGGCCGAAGGCAGATGCTCAACTGCTGAGCCACCAAGGCGTCCCACCCTCATGTTACCTTCTATTCCAAACCCTACAATGGCTGTGAAATGATGATGATGATGCAGTTGTTTCCCTCTAGTATCTTACAAGATGGTAAGTCTGGTGGCATTTCAGATGGCAGAGTTTTTGGAAGTCTCAATGTTCTTTGTGAAACACTATGAAAAATCTTAGTTTAATTCCAGTATAAAATCTAGATTAATATAAAGCATAATTCTATTAAAGATAGGTAAGGTAAATATCACAAGCATGTGACAATGAAAGGCAAGTGACTGAACTATCCATGATTGACTACTGTTTGTTTTTTGTCACGTTTATTTTCTATTAGTCAAACAATTTGTAATCCATGCCAAAGGGTTGAAAAAGCAAAATCAAAAATTACTTTTCCATAAACAAGGAAAAGATTATCATTATTATTAGTGAAAGCACACCTTTATACAATAGTTTGCAGATGTTCCTTGGAAATTCAGTTTAAGAATACTGACCTTATCAAGGAGATTCACATTTTCCGCAATAACCAGGAGTCTCTGGTTTATATGGTATTTAAACACACACACACACAGAGGTTAATTTTTAAAATTCTAAATAAATGTTGTCAAAATCTGGCCTTAAAAAACAGGCTATAATATATAATACAGATCATTGTTCCATAAACCAATTTAATGAATTTCAGTGCTAAAAGATTTAAAGTGAAAAAAATAAAATAAAAGATTTCAAGTGATGTGAACTTTCAGAGTTTAAAAATACTGTAACTTTCAGGTAGTACTTAAACCAGCTCATGCTTTAAAAAAAAAAAAGGTGAACATAATTTAAGCTCTCTGATTCATTAGAGATTACTGAAATAATAATCAAGTAGTTAATAGCAATCTTAGTTCTGCAGCTCTAGAAACTCTAGTCACTTTCCAATGAGATGGATTCCTTGAGATCACAGTTGTATCATTAGATCTTAGAACAGTTGTCAGAAAGAAGATAACTTTGGGATCCCTGGGTGGCTCAGCAGTTGAGCACCTGCCTTTGGCCCAGGGTGTGTTCCTAGAGTTCCGGAATCAAGTCCCAAGTCAGGCTCCCTGCATAGAGCCTGCTTCTCCCTCTGCCTATGTCTCTGCCTCTCTTACTCTGTATCTCTCATGAATGAATGAATAAATAAAATCTTTAAAAAAAAAAAAAAAGAAAGAAGATAACTACAGCTTCTTTGGAAGTCACTATTATTTCTTCCAAGATTGGTCCTGGCAGGTATTTTAATCTATTATCCCAAAGACTGACTCACAGAATTCTGGAGGCACTGCTTCCTGGTCCTTCAATGTGATATGTCCCATATTTTAGACTACTGATGCCCAGGAAAGGACCAGTGAGAAGAGCAAAGTGCTAGAGCTTTGAATGTAATAATGGAGGACTAAGAAATGTATGTAATCACTCCAAAATTATAATGGAATTTTGTATTTACTTACATTATAACACTGTACAGGCTAACAAAAACAGCAAATCTCAGCTTTCAAAATGGCTATTTGCAGTTG